TCTCTCTCTCTCTCTCTCTCTGTCAGTCTCTCTTTCTCTTTCTCTCTTTCTCTTTCTCTCTCTCTTTCTCGCTCTCTTTCTCTCTTTCTCTCCCTATCTCTCCCTTTGGGTGGCACATTATAAAAAAAGTTTAACAATGTTGCAGACTCAGCTGAGGAAGTCTGATAACATTCCCAGTTTCCCAGCAATGAGACGAAGGCTGATTGGACCATCTAATTCATTAATGCTAATTCGCCTTATTGCGTTTATTGATAGAACAGCTAAGCACGCAGGAAAGTCATTAAGTCACCCATGTTGAAAGAGATACCAGGAAGCGCACTGGGATTGGGATTACCCACTGCTTTGAAAATTAGAAAGTGCGGGGTGAACGAGGGGAATCACAGTGTAATCTGTGTCTGAGGTTATCCCTCAGAGAGTAAAGACCTTGTACCGTTCACAAAGTCTTCGTTTACATGCAGAACGAAAGACTTGATGGGAATTCCGAAAGAAGCGCTAAATGACGCTGGATTTTTGCGTCCAGCGAAACGAAATTACCGAGAAAGCACCGATACAGTGGCCAATAAAGAGGTAAACGGATTTATTGCTCTTGTTGGTAAACCAGGCGATATCGTACACTTCGTTGATGATTGGTCGCCAGAGTGGCCAGGTTATGATCGATGAAGCTTCTGGGCAAAGCGTCGCCAAAGTGGGTGTGTCCTTGAGCAAGATATAGTAGAAACCGTCTAAGACGCCCACACATTGCTGAAGAGAAAAGTGGCCACTCAGACAAGTGATAATCTTACACAGTGTTAATATAATAATAATATTATTATTCTTATAGCGTTTAAAAATAAATGCTGGAAGAAATGGTAAGTAGCAGTTTATACAAGTCTTACACAGTTGGCCTTTGGAGCAGGTTTGAACTTCGAATTTGGTTTAAATAAGGGCCTGCTAGCCCCAAACCCTAAGCAGGTTTTTGGTTTCTTGTTGTACAAACTGTAAGTGATAATTTCTAGTATTAAAAAAACCT